CCAGTGTCTGGCAAAAAATAATTAAAAAAAACAAACAAAAACAGGACACCCCGCCCCCCTTTAGTAAAAGTAAGCCCCCTCCCACTGGCCTATAATGGGCCACCAAAGGAATGTTTCCCCCCCTGCATGCTCTCTCGCCGCCGCCAATGACAGAACGGAGAGAAAGACTGAGGGGCGTGGGGGGGACTGAGGGGATGCATTCCTCTCACTGACTGGTTCCTTGTTTAGATCCACAAGCTGATTCTGGATCGCTGTCAGCTGAGGGCTTTCCCACAGCTGACCCGGGATCAGCTGGCAGCGAGGGGGAAGGACCAAAGACTGCATCTTCCATCATCTCACATCCCAAGCTGCCCTAGAGACGGCTACTGCTGATCACTTACTCCTCCCAGTGTGTTGGGAGGGGAGGTTGTATGCAGCGGGGTCAGGACTCAACAAGCATTTATATATCGGTTCAAGTGGTGAGTATCTTTGGCAACTGCTGGATTATTCACTCGATAAAAAGGCCAGAAAACAGTCCCAAAATAAATCCCATCACTAGTTCCTTTTGCTGCCAGACAGTCCAAATCCCAAACATGTACAATTTACAATGATGTAAAACCAGAGAAAAGCAGCAACGTCTCGCAGCTGAGGAGCTGAAAGCGGGTAAACTTTGGCACATTGGCTCCACAAATAAAGCAGACGATTCATGGGTTCTTAAATGTTTCAGCCTTTGACTAATTGTTTTCACAAAATTATAATTCCAATTAAAAACGCAAACAATTTTGAACTCTCTTTGCACCAGATTTCCCGCATCAGTTTTATTCTCTGAAAAGCCATTTGAACAACAATCATCAGAGAGACCTCATTTGGGCTTCATATCTAGAACACACACGATGCATACACATCATCTGGAATATAATCTGGATTAAACTGCACACCCGATGAGCTCCACAGCTTTGACTCCCTCTTGAATCCGCCACTCCCCGGTCAGGTCGGTGCTGGCTACGCCGAATCAGCCAATCACACGCTCGCACATAAAAACAAACGGACAAACCAATTGGAGCGTCTGCTCCTTTAACTCTACAAACAGAGCATTGTCGATTGTCGTTTAGTGAGTCGGCTAGTTAGTAGACCATTTTTCTGCTCCATTCATTCTTTTTTTTTTAATGTTTTAGAACAGGAAAAAACAGACAGCTTATCGTGCAGCCAGATCTTAGCCAGCGTAGCGGCGATCGACAAAATGTCCCGAGCCAACCCGGGCCGTCTGAACCCGGCTCCGCCTGCCAGTCACGCAGAAAGCATGTGAAAAGTGGGCGGGAGGAGAACAAACTAACATTGTGTGTCCGGCTGCCCAACTTGGTAGTGACGGGAAAATAATAAATCTGTGTGTGTTTTGTTGCACGTCTGGGCACTGGGGAGGAGGCCGTCTACGCACAAACTCGTGCTGCTTGCTTTGTGACATCGGAGGACACATCCGCACTGAGACAACTAAACGTGGGACGAGAAAAAGATGGAGGTTTTTTTATGTATAAAACTGTAACTGACCATCTGACAGGTCGCGTTCAAGAACAGAAAGTTGCCCCCGTTCAGATCCAAATCACGTCTGTGCACTCGGGCAGTCAGCGTAGGAAAATGAAGGAAGATAAACGTCACAGTATTTGACCGCAACTGATTCGGCCACGAGCCGATTCGTGAGGAAATGCTCCACGGTCGTGGCTACGCGCTCCTGATACGAGCTGAGGGAAGGGAATAAAAACACAAGAGCTCCGACGTGATTCCAGGAATCAGTTTGCTTTGGCAGCACATCTGCTCTGATTAGCATGGCTCCATTTATCTAGTTCTTTAAATCATCTAAAGTTTGACCTTTTGCTTTGTTTTGTGAATCAATCAAACACTACTGCCGGGACAAATGCAGGTAAATGAGATTTCAAAAGTGCATAGCCTTGACGAATGAGAACAATCAACCGCCGATGATGACCCCTCTTCTGGCTTGTGAGCTTAACTGCTTCCCCGGTTGGCTCACCCGCCCACCTCGCTGCACATTCGCCACAGCCTAACTGTCGCCTAGGAGCAGCATTTACATGCGCAGAGCGGCAATGAAACCTCGGGTGGCGTCGCCGCATACCTTTGACGTGTCGCAGCCTGCTGTGGGTGCAAAGAGCGGTGAGAAAGACTTGTTTCGTGTATCGGGGGCGGGGAGCTTTGCCTTGCTACAAACCGGAGGCAGCTGGGCTCAGTCCAGGTACTCTGGGCTGTTGGGACATGCTGGAATGGCAAACAAAAAAAACAAAAAACAAAAAAACACTGTGCGACTCAGACGTCATGAGAGACGTTCAAAACAATTTATTCAACAGAGCAAATTAAAATCAAATGTCTCTGAAGCATCTTTTCTAACTTTTTACTGAAAAGATAACTTGTGATGCGGTGCGAGTATGAAGCATTTTATTTTTTTACATATATCCGTGTCATCACTCTGGCTTCCCTGTCCGTCCCGCTCTACATGACGGTCACCGAATAAAGAATGCCCGCCCCCCCGTGTTATATTACTCAACAGGGACAACGTAAAGAGTCAGCATGAGGAAACACTGCGTCCGACAAACCCGCTCCTGGTTTTGACCTCACGGACTAAGCCCCCGCACTCTCACACACACACACACACACACAAATCCATTCCCACACTCATTACATCCACTCTTCATATTTCCTGTGGGAGGGCATGTGCTCACTTTTGCGCAATAACTGGCACAGTGAGCGCGAATGCACCGCAGGAATTTGCCCTTGGTTCCCCCGCAGCTCAGGCTCGACAAGGGGGAGGAGGAGGGGAGGGACGACGTGTCCCCAGCCAGGCCGGTGCAACCAAACACCTATGAGTGCAGGTTCAGGGTTGGACCTCGACCCAGGTTTTCACAACCAGCCTCGTTCAGTTAATGATCGGCAGGTTAGGTTTTTTTTTATTTTCTTGTTGAGGAAACTTTGACCCGTGCGCTGTCTAGAACAAACACGCAGAGAGTCCTCGCGGGCCGTCCAACCGCCACGAGGGGAAGGGCGAAAGGCCCGGCACCGCCCGAGAGGTTCTGATGCCAATCGACAGCAGCAGGAATGTCTGACGTCGACGGCCTAAAACGCTGAGTGGCCCGATAGAAATGCACGAGTCAATGCGCGGCATGCTGCTGCACCACTAGTAAAAGTATGCCAGTCATCCGGCCGGCGAGTGAGTAAGACGGGGGCGGTTAGCATGAAAAACACACCCCACTCAAATCATTCCACTCCGTCAGGCAGGGGCTCTTCAGCATGCCGCCTCTCCACTCCCTCATGGGAGAGGGTGATGCGTCCCGCGTCGCCACGTCCATTTTCATGTTGCACGAGCTTGAATGAGTCTATATTTTGAGGCATGATCATTCAGCACAGCAGGGGGGGGGGGGGGGGGGACACAATGCGTAAAAAACAAGGTCACCTTTGTCTAGTGAATATCAGAGGAGGAACATTCGCGGAATCTGTTAAAAAAAAAAAAAAACCATGTCGAGTAAGAGGAAGAGTTAGAGGATGAGGAGAAGTTGGACGGCGAGCTGATGAAGGTGGGGGTGGGAGAGTGGAGTAGGAGTAGGAGCTGCTGGTTATAGACGAGTAGAAATAGCACAACGCTGTGTGCATGAGGATCGGTTAGGTAGTGAAGAGGAGTACAACTGTAAAGGATTGGTATAGTGTTAGGCCAAAGAACAGGGGAACGATGTTCCACGTGGTACCGAGTGGGGTTTTGTGCTAGTTTGTCGTCTCAATTTGTGCAGAATAGTTACTGGAGCTAAAAATAAATAAGAAATCTGCAGCAAGTGGCCGTTTAGTTCTGTGCGGTGTCTGGCTACAGAAACTTGCATGTCCCAGAGCTGTGGAGAGAACATTTTATTTTGTATTTATATATTTAACAGGGACAACACACAGGCCCTGTTACATTTAAATAAAGTGCGACAGATGCAATGTGTGAAGGACTTGTAGCCGAAGCAGATCATGTCCCTGGTTAGACTTTTAAGAAGATAGATATCTATCACAAACGTTTTTACATATGTGTGCATATGGGTGTGTTCCCTCAATCATTGCAGTGTGTGCATATCTGTACAACAGGTGTGCTCAACATAGCTCTTAGTTTAAAACACCTTTGCTGTTCGCAGAACATCCTGGTTTACCAATCCACGATGGACAATGTGTCATATAGTCATTTCAAATGTTTGAGATTCATTTCTGCTCTAAAAAAAGATTGCCATTAACTGATAAAAAAAAGCTGCTAACCATGCTAGGAATGTCCCCAGCAGGCCAATGAGTTAAATCACTAACTCCTCTCAGTTAACACGAACGACTAAACGTGGGACGCAACAAACCGCAGCAGCTTCAGGGTTAAGTGATCTGCATATCGGCCCCTGAACGGCGTCTATCGGTCGGCTCTTCTTCCAGCAGCCTCGGTGTTATCGGCCTCCGAGCGGCCAGTTAAGCCAAGCGGGACAGGAAGCCTCGATAACGCACTAACCATTTCCAAAAAGCACAGTATCTCTCGCTATTTTAAGCCCCAAATGTCAGCACAACCACAATTTAGATTTTTTTTTTGCAACAATGTGGCGCCGTGTTTCCGCTCGCGGAGAGGGGGAAAAAATCTCCCTTTTTAAAAAGGAGTGAAAGCTAATGTTTAGACTTTGCTCAGCAACCCGAGTTATTACTTTTCATTCACGGGGAAGGGGGAATCACAATACAAGATATTAGCATTTAACCTGCGGGGAAATAAAGCAGCTGTACACGGAGGAGACGAGCGAAGAGGAGAGCCGGGCTGGGGGGAGAAAGAAAATGGTTGATACAAAAAAAAAAGAAAAAAAGTGGAGCATTGTGAGCTGAGCTGCGGGGTTTAGAGGCCCGTGCTCGGTCTCTGACCTCCACTCCCCGTCCCATCCCTCCCCTGCCATTTTCTTTCCGCCCGCCGCCGCCTCCTTCTCAGCCCGGCTCGACTCGGCCCAGCTGGGCCCGACTTTAGGTTCCCTTACCTTCCTCTGCTGTTTCTCCCATGCCGGGTCCAGCAGTAGGTCCCGGTCCCAGTCGTTTTCTGGCTCCATGTACATCTGCACGCCTCCGGTCGAGGATTGATTATTAGCGTGGTAATCTACCATGTCAGCACAACCAAACCTGAGTGCGACACAGAGAGACTGACAACACGTATGAAACAATTTAGACGTAAAACATAAAAATGAAGAGCATAAAAAAACGCAACTACGGCCTAAACAAGGAGGAACGTGGAGGGATACACGACACAGGGAGGTGTCCGTCTATCTCTCGCCGCTTTCGGTCTAGAGTGAGTGTCTTTTTTTTTTTATATATGATGAATATCCGGCGTGTGCAGTCAGAAAATCTCCGCTGCTGCTGTGAGAAGAAAAAGCTTTCCCTCGGAACTGTGAGGCTGCTGGGAGGAACCGGCCGCTCCTACAGGCTTGAAAGCGGCACCGACAAGCTTCCGGTGTCGCCTTTCAAAGTAATTCACGTGCGCGTTTTATCTCTCCCCCACACCAACACAAACTTCCACAAACACCTCTGAGGTTTTATTGTTTAATTATTCAGGGGAGCTTTTTTCTTTTTCTCTTACACAAATGTATTATATTTGCTTGGATAGGACTTTTCTAAAAAAAACTGCACAGCTCCTCCATATACAATTCTGGAGGTATTGTACATATTTTTATAGTATTATTTCCTTTTTATTGTATTTCTCTTCCATTCTATATTTTTGTTTCTTGTACATATTTTGGGGTACTTTTGAAATTGTTATTATATTTATTTATATATATATCTTTCTTTTACCTTATGTTTTCATTCTTTCTTACTATGTTTATGTTATGGAATACAAGGAACACACTAAGGCGTATTCCTTGTATGTGCAAACCTACTTGGCAATAAAAAAACAACAACAAATGTATATAATCAATTCTGAAAATGTCCCTAATATCCATCTTCCATAATAATGTGAATGCCTCCAACTTGTATCATCAATTTTAAACGAACAGCAAAGTCAATTTGGGGTGTATTTTGTTATTTTGTTTAAATCCTGTTTGTGTAAATCCTCACACGAAGTTATGGTATTTTATTTTGAAGGAACGTCACGTATGTCGCCCTGTGGAACTGTATTCGTGTGTAAATTGACACACCTGTCTGCAGGAGCTTCTATAGGCCCAGACAGCTCATGAATATTCATACACTATTTGAACGTGAGCTTCTGCACCAATCAAACATTGTAAATCAAAAAAATAAAAAATATAGATATATATATATATATATATACACATACATATATATATATACACATATTTATACCCAACCAACAGTCACACCCGTCTTATCAAATAAAACTGCTAATTAATCTGTTGATCGTTTTACACAAACATTATGACTGTTCAATTTCGTTTAAGGTTGAGACGAGTAACCTTTGCATGTGCAGGGAAATAAGAGTAAAGAAGCCACTTTGTGAGCAGAAGGGTGCAGGTTTCTGTTGTTAAGGTGCCCTTGAGCAACATATTTGACTCCAAACTGCAACAGTCGGTCTCATCTGTTGCCAGACTCGAACACGACTTGTATTGAGAAGTTTTTTTCGGTGTGATTTTTCTGTAACAGTGTGACAGTGCAGCGAGGAGGTGTTGCTGAAAAACTGTAATCATGCTCCGAATCCATCCTCTAGAGTCGAACAGTTAATACAGGCCCATGTTTTAGTAAGTAGAATATCAGTATGAGTATTGAACCAGGACAGGAAGAATGATATGTTCTTACAGTGGCGGACTCATGCTGTCTGAGGGGCATGGGCATAAAACGTATACAAAGGGCACTGGTGCAGCATGCGGTGGGGCACCAGCGCGCAGAAAATACCCTGTTAGGGGGCCTTTGATTGCTTCTTCTCCACTGGAAGGGGTTCCTATGGGGGCACTTCTTATTTCAAATGTATCTACCATGTGTGCATCCAGGAGGATACTTTTGCTGCAGTTTGATCAAACATGGGGGTTCCCCCCTCTGACCCACCAGTGTTTGTTTGTGACTTCTCTACGCATCACCAGCTGATGCAGGGCCAGAAGGTGCTCTTTAATTTGAATGTAATGTCCTTGATTATTGTCACTTATTGAAAAAACGTTTTTCCTTGTAAAATATGAAATAGCGTCCAGTGTCTCAGCCTCCGCTGATAGGGGAAAAAATGAAACAAGCTGAAAAGGGGAAATCAATTTTTAGTGGTTGATTCATGTCCAGCCGGTGAACCATCAAGAGGTCAAGATCCAAACCTCTCGAGAGCCACTGACCCAGAGGACTGACACTCATAAAACAGAGAAGCCTGATCCACGGTATCATCCATTACACGGAGGCTCGGTCTGATTTGGAGGGTGGCTGTCTGCCGCCCCCCCCCCCCGCCTGCAGGAGCCACCTTCAGAAGTAGGTCATGCTCAGGCTGTCCTGGCCCATTAGCGTCACTGCGGCCCAGAGCGGCATATAGACTGCAGCAGGACCCTGCCTCAGCTCTGACGTTGTCGTGTGATGCCATATAGTGCAGCTCTGTGATTGGTCAGCTGGCTCATTAGCAGGAAGGTGCCACTTCTGAATGGAATGTTTTTGAACTGAACAAAGACAAGTAGAGTTCCAAATGTAGCCGGTGATGTTTACATCGGAGCTGACGATATGAATGCCGAGGCACACAAACTCAGTCAGTGTTTTGTGTTTGCAAGCAACACATTCTCACAGTCCTCAGTTTGTTCAAATGTCCTACAAACGTGTTTTATATAATCATACAACAATATTTCACATTACAACACATTTTTATATAATCTTACAAAGAATGACAACATATGCCATTAAAAAACTATAAATTAATGTTTTATCTGTTTTGTGGAAACATTTTTCTCTCTCCTGAAGAAATGGTTTCTAGAAACTTCAGTGATTCTCCGGCATTGATCTGAGGTACAACAGATATTTCAGAGACAGATATCTCAAACAAAAGCTCTCAGCATGGACAGATATCAGTCGAGCTAAGTGGAAAAACATGTTTTTGCTTTTTTGTTCTTGTACTGGCTGCCACCGTTGTAGATTTGTTTATACATTGAATTTTGGGAGTGTTTGTAGTTCTTTGTTTTAGGGGTCAACTGAGCCTTTTAGGGTTATATTTGTCTCGTGTTTGTCATCCGGTGGTTGAGCCCATGCAATCCGTTACTCGGAGCGCAGAGGGGCGATGGCTTTTATTTTCATCCACATAAGTTCCTGCGAGATCAAACAAAGGAGGCAAGTTTAGTCGTCTCATATTCATTTCAATAAAGCACTCTGAGAGGTGACAGAGAGACAGAGTGTCGTTAGGGCGAACTTTCACGTGCAATCCTAAAACAACAGTAGCTACCACACTGTAAAAACACTCTGCATTAAACATGTTCCATCAGTTACACACACATACGCGCACACACACACATGCACATGCACACACACACGCACACACTCAACCTCTGGTATTTGTAACTCTGACTGTTCTCACTTTAAAGAATGGTGGAGGACGGATATTTACACATACAGTACCAGACATCAGCAAAGAATAGAGGGCCGTTTCTCACAATATCTCCTGTAGTCAGGTCGTTCACACACATTCAGAGAATGTAGAGAAGCCACAGAGAAGTTCTTCATAACCAGACTAGCACACAAATATCCGGTGTACATTTGTCTAATCATGGAAACAAAACTGACAAGACCCAAGAAACCAGCTAGACGTAAATACTCAGAAGTAGCAAAAATGTTTGAGACATTCATTTGAAGAAGTAAAAGCATGCAGGTGTTATCAATAGTAACAGTACTGATAGTGCAGTGTAATGTTCCCTGTCAGTGTTTTACTATTATATATGATGTTTGTGGATTAATATAACAGCTGCATTAATGTGAATGTTGTATTTTACTGCTGTAGATGTTTTAACTCCTTTATATCCTGTTGGTTAGGTTAATCTACATCAATGCATCTTATTCTATAAGATCACCACGTTTGTAGCGTCTCTGTCCTGTAAGAACCACATATCTCTAAAAACACAGTTTTGTGTCTTTGTGGTCATTCTGTCTCTTTACAGTTGTTTTTGTGTCTTTTTGTAGTTCCTTTTATTTTGGTTTTGTTCGTTTGGCCCAGTTTGTAGTTGTTTTGCTTCTCTTTGTCTTTTCCTCATCTCTTTGTAGCTGATGTTTGTGTTTCTTTGTGTGGTTGTTTACCCCCGTTTCACAGTCATTGTGAGTCTTTTTGTCTTTTTGCAGCTGTTTGGTCTCTTTATAGTCCTTTTTATATTTCTTCCTGGTTGCTGAGATGTAGTGGAGTAGAAGTATAATGTAGCGTGAAATGGGAATGCTCAAATAAAGTACAAGTACCTTGCGTCTGTAAGTACAGTAAGCAAACGTTCTACCACTGTTTGCAGAGCTGGGACGATTTAAAGTAGTTCAGTTATAATGTATTTCTGTCCGAAATGAATTGTGTGTTCACCTTTCCAGAGACGCACCGCAGCCTTTAAACAAACTGAAGAAGGACTTCACACACTTTGACTCCTTTATTCTTTATTCACGCAGCGTGAGGCTGAAACAAAAGCCTAAACAGAAGTAATGAGGTCAAAACCTGTGTATATTGTTTTACAATGAAGTACACGTCAGATGAACGGATCCTTTTGTATTCAGGTTATCACTTTACTGCTTTAAGGCATCACAATAAAAACATGTAAAAAAGAAATGCATAGTGGAGGACAGTGAAATGATGAGTCAACTTAATTATCAATCAATTAATAGACTTGTTGGCATTAAAGTAATACACACAATAATGGGTCATAAGGGAGACACTGCAGGCGGGTAAGAAAATGAACAGGAAACGTCCCCAGTTGATTACTGACATTAAAACAATTATTTGTTTGCATTACAAGTTTTCTCAAAGGTTAAATGAGGCATCATCTAATGGTAGCTTAGGAGAACTCTACAGACACAAATAGACAAAGTAGTAACACTTAAATGTTTTCTTTCCACTAGTCTGAAAGAAGACGTGTTATGGAAGCAAAATAGCCCAAAGTCTCAGAATTGAGCAGTGCATTAAAAACTATGTTTTTCAAAAGTGTCTCGCCTTTAAGGGGTTAGTTTATCATAATTCACTTTGTCTCTTTGTTTAGAATGTTTTGAAGCAGGCACTTTAAATCTTCCATACCAATAATGGGACCATGTATCAGTGTTAGTGTTTAACATGGTTAAAGCTAATTTCCATATTAGACAGGGGGGGGGGGGGTAACATCGTAAAAGTTTCATTCATGAAGTCATTGAGGTGCCACCGACACAGTGAATCATAAACCCTTGTCCCTCACAGCGTTGACCTTTGACCCCGGATGTTTCCATGGCTGAAGAGCGTTCTGGAAGATGTTTCCTTTTGACTACATGATGACGACATCCGAGAGGAGACAGGAATGGCGTGTGAAGTCTCGGTTTGCTACACGTTTCTATCAGCGAGCTGTGCTGTGCATCTACATTCATACGTGTGAACAACAAATAAACACGTTAAAATCCTGCAGGGAAATCAGAAGAAAGGAGACCAGACAGAGCAAATCCTGATGAATCCCTCCGAGTGGCCCAGGTCAGTTGTACATGGTCATGTGGAGCCACTGGAACCAATCAGAGAGCAGAAAACATTTAGTTTAAACTCACCTGGTTTAATGGCAAACAGTAATATCTGCACAACCGTTCAAAAGTTATGAATCTCCTGCCACAAAGCTTGATTGACGTCTGAGAGGACGACTCTATATGTCTGAATGTCTGAACTAATCCCAGTTTAAAGCTCTTCAATCTAACTACTGAGTAAACTGCAGAGGGCCCAAAGAAAGACACACCCACTCAATATTTAGAGCCCAGATGCACCGTTCATTCTTCAAAAGTATTTCAAACATAAATAAAACATTTGGTGTCTGAATTATACAGTATTTATCTGTTAAAATAGTCATGAATGAAGTAAAGAAGAAAAACACCAACATAACAGCTGAATCAGAACGTTTTAACTGCAGTGTACATCGTTTACTGTCATGTTTGACAGCTTTAATAACAAAACTGCCAAACTGCCATGTAGATATTAAAGTCATTTTAAAAGCATGATAAATACCACAGCTGCGACCTCCATGTTTGTATTTCTTTCAATTCTCTGTTCAAAGTATCTAAAGCAGAGGAAGAGGAAGGAGTCATAATGAATGCCCGTACCTGTCTGTAGCTCACAGTTATGCTTCCCATCCCCACCATGTCGTACGCTTGGAATTTGTCTGCAAAAGAGGACAGGGAATATTTGAGAAGCGTTTGAACTAAGATGGCAAATGTTGAAATGTTTTCCTGCCTGTAGTGGCAGGTGTTTGGAGAAGCTCTTCTAACGGTGTGAATGTTTCAGAACCCTCTTTCTCCGTGTCCCTCCCTTACGTGTCATGCTCTCCAGCTTCATCAGCAGGTACAGGAAGCCGGGGTAGCTGATGGTCAGGTCCGGCTCCGTGTACCTCAGTCCGACCAGCTGCATTATCAGATCGTCCACCACGATGCCTGGAGCCGAGACACACGGACAAACCAAAGACGGGTCAGAATGAATCCGAGATCATTCGACAGGTGCAGTGGCGAACAAACATTTAGACGTATTTAAATCCACATGTGTACAGGCGGTGGTGGGAGAAGTTCTGTTCAAGTGCACAGCGTAAAAACACAATGAGTACAAGTCCTCCATTCAAAATGTTAAGTAAGAATTACAAAAGTAAAAGTACTTAAAATAGCAAAAGTAAAGGTCTTTACAATGATACAATGATACAATGACCGTATCATATACTATATGATCAGATTATTATTACTATAACAGTGATACCAATTTAACCCTGAACTATATCTTGTTTTAGAAACTCACAGGTTTTCATCAGAAAAGTAACTAAAGATGATAAATGTGGTGGAGTGACAAATACAAAGTAAGTCAAAATTGTATTTGAGTGCAGTAGTCCAAGTGTACTTAGTTACTCCTCTGCGCTGTGTGCAGGTATACAGCAGGATGCTGTACATGTGTGAGGGCTTGGCACAGACAAAGCAAGAAAAGAGTGTCATGTGTAGTGCTATTACTGATATTTTGCGAATTTACTGGTCTCTTATTGAAGTAGAAGTTAAAGTTCAATTCAATTAAATTTATTTTTGTACAGCCCAAAATCACAAATTTTCCTCAAAGGGCTTTACAATCTGTACACGTATGACATCCTCTGTCCAGGAACCCTCGCATCGGAACAGGAAACACTCCCCCAAAAACCCCTTTAACGGAGCAACAGAGGAGGGATCCCTCTCCCAGGATGGACAGAAGTGCAATAGATGTCGTGTGTACAGAATGAACAGCATTACAGAGTTACAACACATTCATTGTAGCAGTTTAAAAAATGTCCTTAACTAAAAGTCAGTGACCTAAAATGGATTCGTACTGAGCTGGACAACCAGTAAATCCTGTGCTCTGAGAGTAAAGCTGATGTTTTTTTGGTGGCTTTGAAGAGAGCTCAGATAACAGCTTCAGTTTTCCATCAGAAAAGGCTGCAAGGTAAAGCTAAACATACTGTAAATAAAGCATACAGTAAGGCTGATATTGATGTTTTTAGGTGTGTAATAATAGTTTTAGCTGCTGAAGAGGTAAAGAGAGGTGGTCTGGCTCCCCCTGCTGGTCACATACGGGTTGTTTTCTGACAGCTGTACTAGCTTTACACGTTGACTGAGAAATGCATTAAATGTGAATGAAGTAACTTAATTGGTGTGTCTGTGTGTCCTCAGTCCTACCTGCTTTCCTCAGAGCGGGGGCCACCTCTTTGTACTCCAGGTGTTGTGTTTTGTTCTTGTCAAACGTCAGGAAGATATCCTGAAAAACACGACACCACGTCTCATTACAGAAGGCTTAATAATGGCTCCATTTGTGAAGAGAAGGATTTTGTCCAACTGATGAACACGTGGAGCAAGTTTTATGATGGTTCTCAACAGCATTAATGAACGACCTAACATCTGCACTCTAACTGTCCCAAGTCCTTCAATTAAAACCCCAACAAACGGTTACAGACAATAGGTATTTATTACATATACACATAACATTATAACGATGTAAAATCATTTATATACTCTAGAAATGTGATTAATATGTCTTGGTCTGTAAAAGGTCTGCAAAGCTAAATAACAAAAGTGATAATCTTACCGTCCACCTCCTGATCTTGTCCCACAGACTCTGGAAGTCCAGCCAGTTCAGCCGAGCGTTGCCTTGTGTCTGAAGAAAAGCCCGAGGTCAAGGACATGAAACCCGACAAACGCCATCGAGCATCAACAGCGACTTCTCTTTTCTCTTTCTTTTGTGTTTATGTCAGTCAGACAAACGGGTGACAAATTTGACGGACATTAAAGAAAGAAGGATTATTTTGGAGGCTGCAGCTTGTGATGCTTTGCTTTACACACAGAGGCCTTTCTGTTATCTAGCCTGCCCTCGTTGGGATAAAAGGGATGGACAAAATAACAGTGAGCGCTTTTTTGCAGAACAGCATCTGTCACCAAGATGTTTTATCAGGTAGATAACAAATAACAAAGTACACACTTTATGTATATGTTTGAAAATATTGATACCATGGCAGAGTATTCACCGATGTAGAGGAACTGTAGAGGAGTAATAGTTCACTGTAATTCTTTCTTCTGACTGCTAAAATATCATAACTAAATGGCTTTTAATGTGAGGTTCCAGGGTTCAAGTTGATGCTCAGGCGAGACAGGTTTTAGGTTTCCTTGGAGCTGACAGAAGCAAGTGTGTGTGCCTCAATTCCATATCATGCCCAAGTGTTACACATAAATATAGAAGTACACCGTTGTCCAATGATGCACAAAGAATGCACAAAAAAAACAAGGCTTGTTTGAGATGAACCGGCCCTCGTCTGGATAGTGGATCAGGCGGCAGACTGCTGTCAAGTCTAAAGAACAGACAGGAAGTCACAGAGAGATTTACATCCTGTTAAATCAGATTTGTAGGCTGGTTGTAGTTTACAGACTACGTTCTGTGAGTTTATGATGGTATATATGTGGAAACGTACTTGCATCGGATTCTTTCTTTTATTCTTTATTCTTCTGCTATTTGTATGAAACTCTTATTGTTTACCATTTAGACTACATGTAATTAAACACGGGTCATATTAGATGAATGATTTACCTATTATTGTTGTCTGCTTCTGCTGTTTTAAAACGTGTCTCGCCTGAAAAGGAACTGGAACCCTGGACCCTCGGATTAAAAGTGTGATGCTCTGCTGTCTGAGCTATCCAGGCTATTTCAAAGGTATTATTGTGGTAATAATAAATAATCACAATACAATTGCTCTCCAACAGTCTACATACATCTACTGATGTTTTAAAAGCTCTCTTTAGTGTTTCTCACATGCTCAGTTCTCTGAACTTGACACCTACAATGTATTGAGAGGGTAGGTATAAGTAAAGGGGGATTCAGAGAGAAACAGGAGAAATGTAACTTTGTTAATGTCAGCTCTCAGTCTGTGAGACTCAGTCTTATGTCTCTATTGCAGCATTTGTTAATTACCAATGGTGTGAAGTTGTTACTGTTTACCACTTAAAAGATGTTTTTTATGTCCAATGCTGAGTGTGCTTGATAGATTCAGATAGATAATGACAGATATGATACAGGTGATGGACATGATGTCACTTTTCAAGGATACGTCCATGAGGACCACCAGGCTCTTGCAGTGCTCCAGGGCCAAGTACTTCTCACTGCCGGCCAACACTGGGCACAACAGGTTAGACCGTTAGTGGACACTTTACCATGCATGCGATATATATTGTTCTGTTAATCGGTCGGTTTCAGTAGAGGTGGCTGTTGGACCAACAGTGGTGAAACCAAACAGATGAGAAGTTTCAGTTGGTTACAATCTGCAACCTCACCACTAGATGGCGCCATATCACACACACTGGCCCCTTTAAGTACAAAAATAATTCAGGTCAATTGGCTGATTCACTGACTATTTAGTGTGGTGACCTACTGGAAAAAATAATCATCTTATACCCCTCATGAACATGTGTCATAATCCACAAGTGTTGTAAACAAAACAAACGTTTTACCTACTTCTACTACTACCTGAACACACCACAGTAAACATATATATTTATGTATTAAATCCTATCTATATTACAGTTTATTAATTTTATACTGCTGTACACCAGTCTACCCACAGTATCATAGTTTATATTCTATTCTAATTAAGTAGTATATATATTATATTTCATTCCTATATTATAAAATCTGCACTATTTTATGTTTTAGATTCTCTTTTTTTTAAGATAAAAAGATAGAGATTTAGTTTGAGCTAAGCAGGTGAAACTAAAGGAACTGTATGCTCCAAACCAACCAGCTGTAGATGTCTGTCATGATCCCAGACGAATGCCCGCCAAACTAATATGACACTAAAAATCAGAGAGGTGACCACTGTAGACCTTATTTTGCTTTGCTGTTCCTGTGAAAATCCTTCGCTGCTGCTTTGCAAACAAAAAACAACATTGAGTATGACGTGTAACAATCCTTAAGGGTGTTACAACTAATTACTGTTGAAAGAGAAAAGAGAGACAGATGATCGCCACTGACCTCCTTCCTGTATGGCCTCGGTCAGCAGCTTGTGGAGGTGCACTGGTTTGCAAAGCCCCTTCAGATGACACAAAGCAGGAAACAGTCACTACACAAGACACACAGGTCAGTGCAACACACATATCAGTCTTTGCAGGTTAACCTTTCAGTATTTGTATCAAACTGCTGGGAGCAGCAGAAGGGTGGGGTTTACCCATGGACTGCAGTACAACAAGTGATAGTAGTCGTCGTGATGTCACCCCATTGATTTGTGGACTGCGGTTTAGAAGATGCGAGTTCGGTATTTTGGCGCCATCTTGTTTTTTTTTGCAACCAGTGAACAGAAGTGACCATATTTGGACTGCGGGGGAGTGACGTAGAGACGTTGTATACGTCTCTGGTAGCGGCAGCAACCTGTCAATCACTGTGTAGCCCCGCCCTAAAGCATACTCTGCTTTATGGTCTGTTTGACTCTAAATGGATCATAATTTACTAAATGAACATCATGCTGTATTGAAGAAGACTTGAAACTAGAGATTGAGACCATAAACTCATGTTCACAATGTTTACTGAGGGAATAAATCAAGAGAGAAGTAGGTTAAGTTTCTCATAAACTTCTATAAAATGGGACTTCTTCCTGCAATCAGAGGAGTCGCCCCCTGCTGGTCAGTATAGAGGATGCAAGTTTAAGGCACTTTCTTCAGATCTGTGCCAAGAAGCTCAGAAAACCTCTTTTAAATTAAATATTGCGGTTGTCTAAACTGTGTGGGGAACAATCGGCCTTCCTCATGTGCTGCCTTGGCTTGACTCGGACGAGTCAGCCTGAGGTGCGTCTTTAACTGACACCACACTTGTCTTGAGTCGATGACATTTAAAAGCAGCGGATGTAATACGGTAATAGAACCATTTTGTTCCCTATAAATTCTTCACAATAAAAGTCCCCATTCTTTAGATAATTGGGAGCTTTTATTATGAAGAAGCAAAACAAGGAAATGTTGTGAAAAGCATGTTTAGATTGTAAAATAGAGAAGTTACCCAAATGAAAGCGATGATGACACAGCGAAATAAAGCAGATATCTCACCTTGCTGCTGTGCTTCTTGAACAGCTGTTTGGTTGATTCAAGTGAAGGAAGAGCAGCCTGGTGAGGAAATGAAAGCTGCAAGAAGAAAACACAGAGCCTCAATTCAGAAACAGGACTCAAACACATGCCTCCTCTACAACTTTTGAACCACATATTGAAGTTTCTTTATGTGTATCTCCTTTAAAAATACGTTGCTCAGATAAACTAAATTCACTCTCAAGTGACAATATTTTGCACGTATCTGCTCCTGAGGTGGAAGGTATTGCTTCTCTGAATTCCCAGGTTGTATTCTTACCTTGATACATTGTTCAGAAAACTCAACGTGTGAGAAACACTAACAAGAGGTTTTCAAACATCAATATTATTAAGTAAAATTAAGTATTGAGTTTTCACAGAGATAGAGATTTTTGAAAAAGATGTGTTACATTCAGCAAAGAGAGCCTGGATAGCTCAGACGGCAGAGCATCAGACTTTTAATCTGAGGGTCCAGGGTTCAAGTCCCTGTTCCTGCGAGACATGTTTTAAAACCCCAGAGACTGACAGCTATAACAGGAAAATCAATCAGCGGCTTTAAAACAAACAGTACTAAATGGAGAACATCTTGATTGTCATATTTAATACTTTGTGGGGGATTTTCTGAGCTCTTGCTTTCCGTCCTTTCTGTTATATTTTAAATCTATGCAGCTGTGTGAGTAGCTGTTATATTTTCTTTCTGTGCTGCTTATAGTAGATGTAACACTTGGACGAGACATGGAATTGAAGCACTGTGATGTACATTACTGCTGTGCCTGACCTTCAGCGTGCATGTGTTAAAACAAGCATTATGGATTGACAGAAGAAATGCAGCTTTCTTGTTAGTAACTGCAGTACATATAATATTATTTATGTGTACTGCACATTTCTGTACTCAAGATAGAACTGCAGAAAGTCTTTGCTGGTACTGCCATATACTAGCTTTCTAAAACTCCTGTCACCTGAACAGGGACTTGAACCCTGGACCCTCAGATTAAAAGTCTGATGCTCTACCGACTGAGCTATCCAGGCTTCAGCAACAGTCTTTTACAGTATACAAAACAACGTACAACGGCTCTTCTACAGCCTACACGTCTTGTGAACACACTTAAACCCCAACTGACACTGTCTCACATAAAAGCTTCTGTGACTTTTATCTCCATCATTGGTCAATTTAGTTGGAGCCCACTCCACTCCACTTCACTCCACCAGGTGAGTATTTGTTTAGTGACTGATTTGTCTCATACCTCTTTCAATGGAGGGATGTCGAGTGGCGGTTTGTGGGCTGGACTGGGAGAAAAAAAAACACATATTAAAATCATCACTTTTATGATTAAGAGCCCTCTGATGTTTCTTAATCTCAGGTCGTATCCGTGACTCACGTGGCAGCGTTGCCCTGCTCCGTCAGCACCCGGAGGAGGAACGCTCCCGGCTGATTGGCTGCTTGGGTCGAAGAGACGATGATGTAGCGGCCCGGCGGGAGAGAGCCGCGGAGCACCACCTCCCGGCGCGGGGAGTACTTGGGGCTGTAGAGGACCGGTTGGAGCACTTTCAGGTCCTCTGAGGACAGGTATGTGTTCTTAGGATGGGCCTGGAGGGACAGCAAACACTTCGAACACGTGGACACACAAACTACTGTTTCTCTCACTGTGCAACGTGTCTCCCTGAACAGAGACTCGAACCCTGGACCTTTAGATTGAAAGCCTTTATATATTTGTATCGAGGAAATCTGGGACTACATGCAGACACAAAATCAAGCATTTTTTACTGTATCAGTACAGATATGTATTATTTATAACATCTCAAGTAGTCAAGAGTCTCAGAGAATTTAAGATTTTATTTTTTCGCAAATGTATGTCTTTATAATCTTAGATAATATTCAAGTCTTTTTCATGGAAATTTGCCTCTTTAATCTCGTAAATTTCGGAATTTCTTCTCAGAGTATTACCCTCTCCCCCAGCTCCATAAGTTATTCATTGTTTTACCTACAATGGCCCTACAGAGAAACTTCCCCCTGGGGATGAATAAAGTATATATCTATCTATCTATCTATAATACGCTGCTGTACTTATATCATCCTCCCACACTTCTCTGCAGTGGTGGAAGAAGTATTCAGATCGTTCACTCAAGTATCATCAGTATCATCAGCCAAAAAGACTTAAAGTATCCAAAGTAAAAGTACTCATTGTGCAGTAGACTTCCCTATGAATGATTTATTAATTTTATATCATTATTAGATAATTATAATACTGCTGCGTCAATGTATAAGCAGCATTTTACTGTTGTAGCTGCTCCTGGTGATTAATGGGAGGGGAAAGAAGAAAAACCAAACTTCTGATACATAAATCTGTTCCTCTGATCTCAATATGTGTCCCATCAACTGAGGCATGACAAGCAGCCCTAACTACACTTTTCATTCTATGTAAGAAGTTGCAAGTAAAAAAGTTTGGAAACCACTGATTTATTATGTATCAATGTAAAGTAATTCATAAACGTATGTTTTTTTAATGTAATATCTTGACCTGCAGAGTAACTGCACTTGTAAAATACTTCTGTGATAATTTAATAAATGAATAACTGTGTGTCATGTGTGTGTGTGTGTGTGTGTGTACCGGGTAAATATGCAGGGCTATAGCCAGGTTAACGCCCCTACGCCTCTGGTGTTTCTGCATCAGAGCCAAAACGAAGGAGCAGGTGTTCTTAGCTGTGCCGCTGTCCACCTCCGACAGGGTGAAGTAGTACTGAGGGTTCTGCCAGAACGAACCTGGAACGAACACACACGCACACACACACACACACACACACCCACCAACTCCAGCTCAGTACAGAGTGAGACTCACATCATGGCAGAGAGTACAAAAAGATCCAAAGTGTGACTACATTTGACTCCAGTAGATGCTGAGAACTCTCGTTGTCACAAATGTAATAAAACCCTCACAAGTAAGAGAGGAAACAGCAGCAGTTTGTCACAACATGTGACCAACAAGCAGAACATCAATGTGCAGAAATGCTCAGTTTTCTACTGTTTGTGGAGCAGCCGTCCATCCTCATCCACTGCAGGTAACGTTAGTGATGCCATGCTGAGTTTGATCATAAGAACAGGCTAATACATGAAAGCTAATTGTTGAGCTGTGAATGTATTTTAAAGATTTTGTAACTTCTTGTATTGCTGCTCACGAAAGACTATTTGTTTACATACAAGAATAATAAAGCAATGTTGAATCTTTTCTCAATACATTGTCTTTTTTTCTCACAATATAATCAAAAAGAACCGCTAAGAGTATCGATAAGGAACCGAACCGATAAGCAGCATCGATAAGAGTACAAGTATTGATAAAATCCTAACGATAACCATCTCTACTGAAAACAGTTCCCATCGACGGCCTTTGACCCCACAAACACAGCCCTTTGTGGAATCACCTGCAACGCACTCATCGACTTCAGCTTGTCATTTTGAAATATGTTCCGTTCTGTAGCGTATGTGTAGTGTTGTCACACACATGAAGTAAGAAGGCACCAGAGACGGCTGCGACGCCTCAATTTCCTCTTTCACCTGTCTACCACATATATATATATACTATATATTATTTAATGTGTTATTTATCCCTATACTTTAACTTCAGCACTATTTCATGTCTTAGATTCTCACTTTTACCTGCAAGATTGTCATCGTCAGTGACTGAAGAGAAGCTACAGTGATCAAACACACTGTACTGCGGCACCACTTTGTTACCAGACCAATAAACTTGTCTCAGCATGATGAGTCTGCAACTAATCATCCACAAACACACCTCAGTGGCCGGGGCTTAAAAAAAGGAGGAGGGAGGGTTATGACTCCAGTACTGTACACACAAGGTAAGATACCACAGACTTTACATTTACAAACAAATGCTGCTGTGCAAATAATGGCCCCAGGTCTGTTTGAACAAAAAACAGGTAAAACACAATTACCTGGCTCACATAAAACATTTTAGTTCTTTTATTTTGAAAAGGTTTATAAACACTATAAATGTGCTGGAGTTAGTTAAGACGCCATGTGTCTTCTTACCCCCTTGGACGGAGCCTCCCGCCGAGATGCTTGGCACCCAGTTCCCATGATGCATTACACAACACCACGGCAGCACGCTGGACCCTGGTTTACTGAGATCGTTGGTCAGGTGACACACCTCCATTGTCTCAAAGTGCTGTCGGAAGTCTGACACCGACATCCTGATGGAGAGAGAAATAGGCCAGTTATAGATGCCTTGTGATGGCCAGCAGGGGGCGACTGCTGGTTGTATAGCAGTCTATGAGAAAATGACTCTACTTCTCACTTGATTTATTCCCTCAGTAAACATTGTGACCATGAGTTTATCGTCTCAATCTCTAGTTTCAAGTCTTCTTCAATACAGCATGATGTTCATTCAAAATGTAGAGTTGGTGAGAAACTTGAATAAATCCAGTTGTTTGGAGATGTTGTCACAACAAAATATCGAGATATTAGAGATGAATTATGAGCTGTTTAACTTCCTAACCCTAGCTCTAAGCAGCATATATACATACATCGTTAAAACTACTGAAGACATTAAAATACAATCTTTTCTTTCCTTATCATTTGAATTTTTTTATGAATAAAAGAATATATATAATAGGGATCTGTATCTGCCAATATGGATCATCAATGATCGGCAATTAGTATCAGCGGGGAAAAAAACGGGATAAGGGATCCACAAAAGTTATATTTGCTCCCTAGTTTTATGATCCGTTGCACCACCAATGTATATATATAGTTCAATCTGTAAGAATACTTTAAGTAGAAAATGAAAACATTGTCCAGATCATCAGTCCTTAATATCATCAGTCACAAAGCATCAGTGCATGCTTTTTCCTTTCTTTGACAAATGAGAATAAAAAGCACATGTGCGTGGTGGTGCGACAAGGTAGCGGATAAGCCGACTTGTTTTCCTCGTTGTTCTCGTTGCGGTTCAGCCTCGCATGTCAGTGTGTTGTTACATGTTTGCAGAAGGCGGACGGTCGGGGTCACAGAGAGCACGCTCAGATGCACAAACTCACCAGAACTCCCCGTCCTCCCGTCTCACTCTTTGCAGCCTTTTCTGCTCCTCCACGCTCACTGTCTTCCACTCTGTACTGCACAGAGACAGAGAGACACAGGCACACAAGTAGAGAGAGGAGACTTTCATACGTACGCCAAAAAACAAACAGGTCAAATGTTACCACTCTTAGTGAAGTATGTTTATATTTTTTATATTTATATTTTAAATACAGATAAATGAAGCTATGACATCAGTTAATATGCATAATTATTGTTGAATTTTGAAATTTGACGCCAGATTTGAGAAACTGTGACAAAGAAAGGCAGACAGAGAAAAGGTGACAAGCATGCCAGTATATGTATTTATATACATATAATCTACAACTGTTCTCGTATACGTATAGAAATATTACATTACAGTTCACATTATTGTTTACATTGCAGTTTACACATTTTACTATTACTCACTAGGCTACCAGTCTATATGTTACTTTATATTTTACTTTACATAATGTTGTATTCCTGTGTTTAGATTCTAATTAGGTTTAGTCCCACTTGGGTGATTATTTTATTCATATTTTCAGTGGTGGTTAGAAGTACTCAGATCTTTTTACTTCAGAGCACATCTATGATTGAGGGATTGCCTCCATACGGCTCTCAACATGGCGAAACTTGGGAGCCAACAGTGCTAATAATAAATGTTAAATAGTAAAATATAGTTAAAGCACATCCTGCATGATGTTTAAAAGTACACATCTTGCAGGATGGCGCATTTAAGGATAATATATATTAGATTACTGGATTATAGTTATTGAAGCATCAAACAATTAAAATTATATATAGTATATATACAGTATATATATATATATATATATATATATATATATATATATATATATATGACTTGGACTGAGACAGGCAGACAAATGCAAATGCACACAAACAAAAAATGTCATGTGGCATAGCTTTAGAGGGAAAAATGTGATTCCTCTTCAAATAAATTGAAAATGTGTACCAACCCTTTCAGGTCGCTCCAGGGCCCCTCCCACTCTGTGTTGCCCCAGGGGTTGAGGAGCCGTACTAAATCCTTGCTGCCGTATGCCGTCTTCACCTGGCGGAGGAGGACAAACACAGAGAACAGGCCAACATGAATGCATGCAAATCCTCCACTTCAATTCCTGTTGAGTTTAGGACTTGTAGCCTCAGTAGAAGGAGTTCCCCTCTTCCTCTCTGAAGTGCACACATGCGTCTTTAAAAATCAGAGGGTTGTCAGTGATCAGACTTATTTATCCAAAGCATGCGGCTACCAATATTGTTTTTATATATAGTATAATAATAATATTTTGGACGTTATTTTGTTTAAAGTCAAGTGAGGCTCTCAAAAATAGGAATATTAACAGGCACAGTTAATTACCTCTTCTACTGCAGTCAGAGAGTAGGCATGTCTGAACATGATACCCAGTTCACTCTGTTTCTCCAAAGGACCCTGGGGGTAAAACAACAAACACATCCACCCACCTGCTGTCAGGACAGAAGAAACGTTACACCAACCTCAAGTACAGCTTTACTGGGAACATGCTCTGCTTCTGTGTTCCGGGGATTTAAACTAGACCTAACAAGTCGATCCCTCCAGCTTCCACGCCACCGCTAACCTCCTCCCCGTACCTGGGAGTTGGCACAGTTGATGAGCGCTCCTTTAGCCAGCAGGTGACTGAGGAAGGCCGGCAGGTCTCGAGGCAGCGAGGAGATTTTCAAAACCTCAGCCACCCCGCCCGTCATATCCACCATGGCCTCGTGAGGGAAGCCCATGTCCAGAGATCTGTAGCCACCTTTCAGCCTGGGACAAAAGACACAGTGAGGACAAAAAAACATCAGATAGATTCCAGGTGGTAAACGAACCGGGAAATAACTGGAAAAACAAGGTCTGATTGGGAATAAAAAGGCTTGTGAGAGAAACGCTTTCTCTAAGAAAACATGACAGGTGAACAAACAGAGTTTAATTCCTAGAAATTGGTAAATCTGTTCCAGTATTGAGGATGTACTTTCCAATATGTTTGAATTCCATCTGGTAACATAGAGAGGGGAAAGTAGGAAGAGAAGGACTTCAGGATGTCACTAATTTAAGAAATATTTTACATATTTTTCCTTGAAGTTCATTTCTGGTTATACGGTAGATAGATTCATTCATCTATTCTTTCATTTAACTTTTATTTAAATCTCAAGGGAATCATTGTGGGCATGCCCTTATATTCAATGAGGTCGATGTTACAATTAAAACAGAATAAATACACACAAGAAAATAATTAACAAGAAAATAAAACCCAAAGAACATTAAAACAACAGAGCACAGTTAAAAACAATTACATTCAAGAGCAGGGTATTGGTGTTGTCAAACCTGTGAGAATAAACCCAGTATAATTGGAGATATTAAAGATATATGTAGTTTGTTCAGCGATAAATGGGGCACCGCGTTTTAAAAAATAAGGATCTAGTTTATCCTCCCCAGTTGAACTTCTCGGTGTGTAAAGGCCTTAAATTGTTGCCCTGGAGCAATGTTCAACACACTCATTGTGAGACAATTGAGCAAAGAGCACAGCATCATGGTGAATTTGTGTCCTAAGGTCTATTCTGAGGGTGTTACCAGAGAAGTGTCATCGGCTCATTACATTGAAACTGATTAATCCCCTTATGAGAATAAATGATAAGCTCTGTGCACATCCGATTGATTGTGTACAAGTGAATATTTCTGGCCTGATCGACAACAAAATAAGTGTTCACAAAAAAAACATTAAAAGAAAGAACTCTTCTCCCTATTGGTGTCTATTTTAGAAATGAAATGTTTTCTCAAAGTGCCCGTAGGAAAAAGTGTCACAACTGACCCTTCACTAAGCCCCCGCCACCCGCCTGCTACTCCGATAGGTGTGAGAGCTATAGAGCCCACACTGTCACTAACTGCACTCCCTGCAGAAATATGATCTCATTTTCTGGAAAAACGTAAAAGCTATTTCAGAGAGAAGCAGACAGAAGGGTCTGCAATAAGCGTTTAATGAATATATCCAGGATGTCGAAGTGATTCAGGAGTGAAAACAGGTTAACAAGATAAAGATAGAAGCTAAAGCTACAGATCACTGTGTTAAAGTGATCCACCACATCACCTGGAGATCCAGACAGAAGACAATGAAATAAAGGCGGGTAGGTATTCATAACAGCATGTGTATGCATTCAGTATAGCTTCAGTAGCTGGCGTAGCATAGGAGTGCTAACGAAAGTTAATGATGTGCTAATGCACTCTGCTAATGTTAGCGCCACAGGTTTTTGCATAGAAACGCAACTTTTTAGAAAGGTATATCTCCTTCACTATTACACAACGTAAATCCTCTGAACCAGCCTGAAGAGGAAGAACATCTGAAAAGACTGCATGTGAGTCTAGTGCGTGATAATTGTCGGACCCTGGTCATAGCTGGCCGATGCTACGCTACGATTGGCCAGTCTGTGCTGGCGGGCGAGAATTAGCGAAGGGTCAATAAATTGGAATGTTATTAATCTCACATTCTAATTAAGTGAAGGTTGATCTCATTCCGCATCCAAATGAGGTAATGATTTCTTCATCACACACACACACACACACACACACACACACACACACACACACACACGCTGATTGACAGAAACTCACTTGGCGTAGGCCTTCTCCAGCAGGGAGCTCCAGAACTCCAGTCTCTCTGGGGAGCTGAGGTAGATCAGATTGTTGTTCTGAGTCGGCAACAAGTCGTCAATCCTCACCTCCTCCCACTGACCGTACTGCCAAAACTACAGCGAGAGAGATGGGGGGGGGGGGGTCATAAGTGGCCTGCTTTCATCATACTTACAAAGGCCATAAAAATAATATTTCAACATTTTCTACAATCTATCATGCAGATTGTCTCGATGAAAGCTACATTATTTTGCCAACAGAAGAAAAGAAAGATTAAAAAGTTCCTCTTTATCACTGTCCTTGATTATTTGAAACCCCACGTCTGTATCACACTACAACACAAGTTCCAGTGAAACGAAAATACATTTCCCCAGTTTAACCTGTGTCCCTGTGTTAATTGCTCATTTATCTGTGGTTTGTAAGCTAAATATGTGTCAAAAATACCAGTAAAAGGGTTTTCTCTTCTGTTAAAGAGTTTCAAATGTTTGTTGACTCATCCTGCACTCAAATAATTCATCCCTCGGGCGACTTAGAGGCGATGTGTGTTTGGATATGAGGGGGCAAACACTCTACTTTTCATTTCCAAATCAATGTGGCTTCAGTTAAATTCATTCAAGGGAAACTTTGCCGATTTCCTAACCGGCTCTGTGTCACTGCAGCGCAGGCAGTACATGCAGATGAACATGCCGGATGACGCCAAAGGACCAGCAGCATTTTGCTGGCCACTGACATGGTCATGGAGCTAAGCCGGGCGCCGTTCAATCTGCATGTAATGTGACACAGAACAAAGTTGCCCTTTCATCTCTCCTTAGTCCTCCTGATGTAACAACAGGGGATGGAGGTGTGTGTGGAACTAACAGTCTTCTGTTGCTCCGTATCACGCTAAACTCAAAGCCCGACTACTTTTTACTGGTCCAATCCAATGCGAAGGATTAGATTTGAATCCGTTTAGTGACTGTACACTGCTGAAATACATATGTTTCACTAAGAAATACGTTGAGGAGCTAAAGGCGCTCAAACCTCAGCTCCACTGGGACTTTAAATGTCGGCTTCTGGAGACTGAGATTCATCCGTGCTGCACAAACAGGAGCATGTTGGGCAACGTTCAGCTATTTACCCAGAAGGAGAAGCAGCCCTTGTATCCGTCTTGGAAGCTCTGTCCTAGAGGCACAACCTTCTTGAGCAGGACGTGATGCATGGAGAGAGACGCGATGGCAGAGAGCAACCAGCAATCATCTAAAGGAAAAGAGAGGTTTGGCAGATAGGTCAGGTTATCAGTAGGGTGCGTCATTTAAAACTGCATTCACCACAGAGTGCCATGAACTGTTTTGTAAGTTTCAATTTTAGAGGCTCCACAATACGCAGACGTCTTTTGACACAGCTGGTGCATCCTCTGTGTAACCTCAGTTTCCCCTGATTCATTGTGCACTAGCTAGATTGATTTATGGTGCATGCAGGCAGACAATTTCACATGACCACTTTGTATTTATTTGGGAGACAAATGTGAATCAGAATCAGCTTTATTGGCCAAGTATGTGTGCACAAACAAGGAATTTAACTAATTTTTGCACCTCTCTCAATGTACAGTAAATAGACATAAGAACAGTTGACGGCAAAGCTGAACAAATAAAAGTTAAAACCAAGTTCACACTGTGCGACTTTCAAAGCTTGCCGTCTTGTAATCGGGACTCTTCCAGATCTTTCACTTGGAATCCCAGATGAGGTCTTCAAACTACGTTTTCTCACGAAGACACAAGCGAAAAGTGACACGGGTCGCTCGGAGTGGTTGAGCGGGCCTTCCATCAGCGGGTTTCGATGCCCGGCTCCTCCGTGTCAAAGTCACGTATGGGAACCACGGATTAATTACACAGTTAACCATCACAGTGTGAAATAAAGTTTTTCTTATCATTATCAGTAATTATTCTCCAATGTTCAGTAACATATGCGATCAGGACATCGGCATTTATTGTTTTTCTAGTCACTAATCTCTGGTAATGTTACACTGTAAACAACCAATCAGTGTTTAAATTGGCATGTAGAGAGCTAGTGAACGTTAGCAGCACCGCTAACAGCAAACCAACGATGGTTCAGTTCAGTTACATCGTGATGCGTTCAGGCTCTGTTCAGTGAAAATGAGAATTGGGCGAAGGTAAATTATAACGTTATCATGAAGTGTTCAAATGTAATCTCGTAAACTGTATTGTTGATGAGAAACTTGAATAAATACTATAAATAAATAAAAAGTTATTAAAACGACTTTTGACAAGATTTGTTTTAATTTATATAAAAACAATCTTTTATTTCTTTTTCATATAAATTGTGTGTTTTTATGGAAAAATCTAGTAAAACAAAGTCAAAGAATAATATTTAGAGTGTTTGATGGTTCACAGACTTCAGAGCGGTTGGAATGATTTTTTGGACACTGGCAAAGAAAGAAATCACCTGGATGTAGACCAGCTGCTATAATCACACAACAACAACAAAGGGATCTGTATCTGTCAACATGGATCATCAATGATCGGCAATTAGTATCGGCGGCAAAAAAAAACGTGAATGTGACCTCTAAAAGTTATATTTGCTCCCTTTTTTGTTGTGCTGATCAGATCCATGAATCTGATCCGGGGTACGATCCGAACAGTGAGTTTTATGATCCGTTACACCACTACTAGCGGTATGTATAATGATTAACCACTGGTAGATACATCACATGAAGTGGACCAGTGAAAATAAATCCACTACCGGATGTAAACAGTTGTAAACTTTCCTGTTTGTTCTGGTTGTCAGCTGGTACCAAATATTTATTTTATTGTCAGGACATGAAGAACGAGTCTTACCCATGTCACATAAAAACTAGACAGGAACAACTCAAAAGTACTGGCGGGTAAACTCACATGACCTTTTAAAAAATACACCAATGAATATATCAGCATTTGTTATGCAATTCAACGTCAGAAACTTTTCTTTTTACTCCACTGTCTTGTGGGAAGAGTGTGCCTCGTGTTTTCGTGGACTGGTCGTGTCTGAACAGACTGTGTTGTGTAACACCACAGCGGCCGTCTACTTACTGAGCTTTCCCTGGCGGACGTCCAGGCGCGTGGCTCCGTTTACAATGAACTGAGGCGACGAACAGAGCTCCTGGAAACAGAGAGGAGTTTGATGATTGGTTGAACAAACAAAAAAAACAGAGGAGGAGCGGGAGGAAACGAGAGAAGGGAACTGTCAAATGACAAAAAAAACAGGTTTCAGAGCGCCTGAACAGGGAGTGGCGGCTCATTAACTAAGGTACTTTATTAACAGTCTTAACCCGGAGTCAGATGGGAAGATTGATACTAGTTTCATCTCTGTGCCGTGTTGCAAAGTGTTTGATTGATAATTTTTGTAGATGCACAAGTGATAATTCGAAAAAGTATATGATGTTCTCGAGTTAACAAAAGCAATCAGAAACAACAGCGTGAACTAGCCCCCTCAGGAAAACCTTCTCACAAGACTGCGATAGTTACAGTAACAAACTTGTGTTTTGAACGCAGCCTGTCGCAGTAAACGGGTTGACCTGAGCTGCTCTGTCATCACCGAGCCTCGACGACGACGGCACATTTTTGTGTATCCAACAACAGCCTGCATACACGACGCTTTAGGCCTGCAGGGAACACATGGAAGGCAAGGCAAGTTCAAGAGCGGAGGAAATGGAAAATAAACGGCCGCTTTTTCTCTCTCACCTTTCCTGTCTATTGGCTGTACTATCAAATGAAGACAAAAAAAGCCCCAAAAATCTCTATTATATATTATATATATATTTAAAAGTCTTTAAATATGGAAAATATTTCATTCCATTTGATTTTTATATTGCTGTAAACTGAGTTTATTTCCTCACAGTCCTGAACTGTTTTCATTACTGGTTCAACCATGTAAAGCACCTTGTTTTGTGTTCTAGTAGTTCATAGTGCTCTATGAATAAAGTTTATTATTATTATCATTACACTCATCGTAGATTAGCTCATACATATAATGGATACTTCAGGGACACCTTTTGCGTAATGGTACTTTGTGGAGGCGACACAAACAGAAGCGACAGAGATAAATCTGCGAGTGTTCCATTATGAGCGAGTGACCTCTATAAACGCTGTTGAAGAGGGCGATGAGGATGTGTGCAGTACAGTATCATTATTTATGTGTGTGTGTGTGTGTGAGTCCCAGTCCACAGTGCCAGTTGAATCAGATTGATGTGAATCCTGGAAACGAACATTCTGATGTCAACAGATCTTGACACACTTTAGCAGCTTTAGATTACATGAAAGATTTAACTTTTACCAATGGTCAAAAACAGACTTGAAATAAAGTACATACAGAAATCCCTGTCATTACCAGTGACAACAATAAAAGCCCTGTCAGTCTTCCAGGCAGAGATGGGCAGTATTTCTATTACTTGTATTTGAAATACGTATTTCAATTACTTTTGAGTATTTTGTCATTTGTATTTGATAGGGCCAATAAAAAAATCTAACGTAATTTGTAACAAAATACTTTAGAGTGGAGTAATTTTGTATTTAAAATACTCAAAATACTTTCTCCACAAATCAAAAAACAGTTCATGAGTTCAGTCTTCAGTCTTCAAGTTCAACGGATTGTCTGTCAAGTTAAATATTTTATCTGAGTGTGACAGATGTCAACTAGCTTGATGTATAATTGATGTCTGGGTCTGGCTACATAGCCTATTGTATATACACGGTGATGTTATAATATCAAGCTAGCGATCGATGCTAACATGCTAATGACGCTAGCATGCTGTTTAGCAAGTTAACTTATCAGTGGAGTAGCTAGCTATATAGGAAGAGGGAGATTGGGAGCTTGTATGTTCATGATAACCTCATCAACAGACGTCTGACCATCTAATCTTGCACTGTATTACAAGTTATAACCTCGTTTTCTGGAGGACACCAGAAAAGACCTGCTTTCTCTTCAGCAGTACCCACTTATCAAGCTCCTTTTTGTTCGATTTAACACAACCCTCCCCTCATCGGCTCCGGTTGAGAGACTGTTCTCGTTTGCAGGAATAATATTCCATCCGCACAGGAGGCGGTTAACACCAGAAATATTGGAAAAGTTAGTTGTTCTTAAAGGCAACTAAACAGGCTACTCAGTGGTTGGGTCTCAAGAACCAAAATGGAAGGATTATTATGTCATAAAGATGTCAGTGTGAACCTGTATGAGACACTTAACACTGTAATATAGAACTATGTGGCCTACCATGCCACTGGCCAATGTAAGAGAGAAATAGGCTACCATGCCACTGGCCAAGGTACAGTAAAAGAGAAGTAAGTAGCTACTCACTTGTTAAGTTACCTGTTCACTTTTGTATTGATTTACTATTTACCTTTTATTTTTATTCATTTTTCTGTGCAGAACTTGATGTACAGTAATTTATTTAGGCTCTTTACCTGTGTACTGCTTTTATTTCTATATTTTGCTTTTATAGTATACATAGGCCTAATGTGTGATGCATTCATATGTGATGAATATTTTCTTGTTGATACAAAGCCAAAGTTTGTGGGCTGTTAAGTCCCATTAATAAAAATATATATATACATAATCAATCAAGTTGTTGTCTTTTAATAGCTGTGACTGTTCTTCCTGTTTGTGGGGTTCACCAGAGCTTTGTGTACATTATAGAGCCCAAACCTGAATGCTCTGCTATACCAAATTGTGAGAAAACAGAAAATCCAGAAAAAAGTATTTCCTATATTTTAAATACAAAATACATGTATTGTATTTTGTTACATTTTCTGGCACCAGTATTTTGTATTTTATTTTAATACATTTATTTGAGGGGTATTTTGTATCAAAATACATTTTGATGTATTTTTGCCCATTTCTGCTTCCAGTTGCAAACAGGTCGAACCAATCAGGATGTGTGAGTTAAGATCAAAGGCACACCTGCCAGCTGTGGCTGAGACGGACCAGGAAGTTCTGCACACACTGATATTTGGTTATAAGATTCCCATACTATTATCAAAGTGAATGAAAGTAAAGCATTATCGATACACGCAGTGTGACAGCTCTGCAGTAAATGCAGCCTTTGTGAAGCTTGTTATGGTTTTTATTTGTGTTGAGACTGAGGTTTGGATTTCCTTCTGCAAGTTTTGAGGCATTCTTGTTGTTTTGTTCACCCCACGTACAAACATCACGGTGGGCGATCGTGGCTAAGTGGAGAGCAGGACCGTCCTTCAATCAGAGGATCGGCAGTTCGATCCCTGGCTCTGGCTCCGCTAGTCCTTGAGCAAGATACTTAACCCCCCCAAAAAAGTTACTCCGTAGCTGTGCCTACGGTGTGATAGAATCTGAATTGTAAGTCGCTTTGGATAAAAGCGTCTGCTAAATGACTGTAATGTAATCTTCCTGCTCTTTTTAATAAAACATTCAGCCGCGTACAAACTGCCAATTTCCTTCTTCTGCCACCGCTGCAGAGAGAGAGAACTGCTTTTATTTCATGTAGAGGTGCTTTCGTTTGATACGTCACATATTTACTCAACAAAGGTCCGGTGTAATGACATAAGCAGGTTTTATCTTATCCTGACCGAGTCCTGCCCTCATTTGTGAGAAGAGAAGGTACATTTAGGTATATTTAAGAACAAATATGAAGTGCTTGTACTTTGAGTATTTCCATTTCATACTTTTAACTCCGCTACATTTAACTGACAGCTTTAGTTACTTTTCAGATGACAGTTTTCCCTCCCCTTCCTGTCCAGTGAAAACCACGTATCTCCAGATGTGTTGATGCTGAATGTTTGTGATAAACTGAAGGATGAAGTGTTCCTTTATGTGTTGACAAAATCCTCCTACTTCTTCATCTCAGTAAACTCTTTAAAAAGCCTCTTGGATCAGCTGGAAAATGCATCGTCACAAAGCTGAAAACAGGACTGTTGATCTGTTTAGAGATACGAGGTTCTCACAGGACAGAGACGCTACAAACATGATGATCTTATAGAATACGATGCATTGATGCAGATTAAACCAACCAACAGGATATAAAGGAGTTAAAATGCAACATACACATTAATGCAGCAGTGATAGGAATCCAGAAACAGCATATATAATAGTAAAACACTGACAGAGAACATTTAATTGCACCATTATTTCTTTTACTTTAAGTACTTTAAGTACTTTTAGTACATTTAGCTAACGGTGCAGACAACAGTGCTGACAGAGCTCACAGTGTTTACCTGAGGGGGTCACAGGAGGGCGGCCGCTACGCTTTCCACAACAAAGCCGTCGGTCGGGACGGCATAGCTCTAACCCGCCGTTCGCTCACATGCACGCTCACGTGCACTCGCACGTGCACTAAAAGTATGTAAACTAAGCGTGGAGAGGCTCAGATTACAACTTCATTCTTTGCTCAGGAAGACATTACTCCACTATTTCTTTACAGAGATAATAGCTGTTTGTTGCTATATTAATGCTCTGAATGTTGTATAGTGAGTACTTCTACCGATACCGAGTATATTGATGGACAACACTGGGCTGACATCTTCCTTTCCCTCCCGTTGCCCTGCAGCCCTTTGTTTATCTTTATTATACCTCCATGTGATTTGTTTGAAACGCACCCATCTGCAATTTTTCCTTTTCTCATGAATTGAACAATATCAAAAAACTGAGGTAGCTTCCCCAGTTAGGACACTGGTGCATAAAAAAAACACAGGTTTACATTCGGAACAGGACTGGTATTCATAACTGTCATGTCAGGTCTGCCTCCTGACATGACACGATCCCGGTGTGACTCACTGATAGTAAATGTGATTTTATGAGGCTGTTACATCAGTTTTCTACTCTGCATTTACCCACAGTATTTAACTTTAAAAAGCCTGCTATTAAACTTGCTGCAACATTCCTAAACAAGGCATAAAGTGTGTGTAATTGTATACCTCTGAGGGATCGACGACAGTGTTGGTGTTATATTAAGGCTTAATAGTGAGCCTCAAGTTCATTAGGAGTGATCCCTACAGTACAGAGTTATACTGTAAATGTGAGTGTATTGGGACTTTATATGAGGATGTTTTCATCCTGCGTGGTTTGTTCGTTATAGTAACTTAAACCATGAAATGCTAGTTGTTTGCTTTGGTGCTTTATGGTATATTGCACATAGAGTTTCTCCCTATAGAATCAAAAATGATAAAGAAAACCTTATATTTATAATAAGGAAGTCTCCACTCGACAAAATAAAGTATGACTTTAAGCTTTCAGTTTTGTCAGTCAATATTAAAGGTGTAGAAGTACAAAGTAGCATAAAATGGAATACTCAAGTAAAGTTCAAGAACCGCAGAATTATGCTTAAAGGCACAGTGCTTATGATTTGATGGCATCAAGCAGTGTGACCATAGACTGTATATAAGAAGTGGACATAGTCATCGTGACGTCACCCATTCGTTTGTGGACTGACGTTATGAAGCCTCGAGTTTGGCAATTTCGCCCTCGCCATCTTGGAATACAGCCTTTACCATATTTGGAATGGGGAGGAGTGATATAGAGGCGCCGTATTCGGCTTTGGTAGTGGCAGCGACCTGTCAATCACAGTAAGCCCGCCCTAAAGCCTACCCTGCTTTATGGTCTGTTTGACTCTAAATGGACCATCATTTACTAAATCAACATCATGCTGTATTGAAGAAGACTTGAAACTAGAGATTGCGACCATAAACTCATGTTTACAATGTTTACTGAGGTAATAAATCAAGAGAGAAGTAGAGTCATTTTCTCATAGACGTCCATACAATGGGACCGGAGGCTCCCCTGCTGGTCAGTAGAGAGAATGCAAGTTTTAAGATACTTCCGCACTAGCTTCACCGGAAGTTGCCGCCTGGGTTAAAGGGACAACATGAAACCGACGGCTAGACTCCCCCCTGTCTCCCCCCGCCCCTCCTCCCAAGATTCAAGCTCACGATCGGTTGCCAGGTTGAGGACACTGAACTGAACGAGCAACGGACTAGCTCAACATAATACTTTGAAAACGACAAGCAACAACGAGTCCTACACCACGTTGATCAGACAAAGCAGCCAATGTGGATTTTTTATAACTCTGTCAATGTTAGCTAAATGCATGGCTGCCTGTGTTTACAGTGGCCTAAGCTAAGACTGTTATCCCAAATAAACCTTTCTAAAAAAGGGTTTATAGTTTCTATTAGATAAGACAGATAAACAGCTAGGACGGGCGTGAGCAACGTTACTCGAGTACTCGATGTGGATTTGTTCAACAGAACGTTATAGAGTGATCACATTCCTAAATTGAGTCAATTTCAGTGGTATATTTCTGTCCCGCTGGTTGTTGCCGAGGTAGTCTCACTGAGTCATTTTCTCATAGACTTCTATACAATCAGACTTATTTTTGCAACCAAAGGAGTCGCCCCCTGCTGGTCGGTTGAGAGAATGCAACTTTTAAAAACACTTCTGCATTGGCTTCACTCGGTAGAACTGGAAGTTGCCGCCTGCTGTAAAGCCAGGGTTTGGTTAGTCCTCAGGATGCCACACACTGGCCCTTTAAGTACAGTACTCCAGTTAATGTACTAAGTTACTTTCCACCACAGTCCAACAATGTAGTATATACTCAGTGGTGGTTTACTGAATAGGGTTTTACCTGAATAGAGAATTACGAGGTGTAAAGTACAGAATAGTACTTCATCATATCATATGCAACCATTCAAATGCTGTTTACATGTCAATGCATCAACACATCTCTCTGTTGACGCATGCAAATAAGAAGGCCTAGATACCAGAAATGTACATTGTGTCACTAATATGTTCTTACTTATAATCGAATCATTTAAAGAAAAGAAAAAAAGACAGTGGATTGTTTTTACATATTAAAAAAAAAGTTGAGAAAAAAAAACGTAAGTAAAGTACAGAAGCAGAGGGTTTAAAATATACTTATAGTATCAGAATCTATAATATTTAATACAACATCTTTATTTGAATCTGCAAAGAGCTAAAGGTATCAAAAAATATAGTTCAGTAAAAACTACAATATTTGCCTCCAAAATATAGGCTAGTGGAAAGTAGAAATAGTCACGTAAAGTACAAAAAGCTGCACAAAAGTAGATGTACTTGGATACAGTGCACCACAGCAGAAGAGGTACAGAAGGTTTAGCCTCCATCTCTTTCTTTACCTTTGGTCGTTTCCACTCGACCCCGGCCTGCATCTCCAGTTTACCCAGGGGGAAGTTGTAGTCCACGAACAGCCCGTCCCGGCCGACCGTGTTCGCGCCCTCGCTCTCCGGGGGCGCGAGCCCGTTCGTAGTGAGGTCCGACAGCCAGCTGCGGGACTGAGAGCCGAGCAGCTCGTCGGAGCAGACCGAGTCCGCATCGTCGTCCAGCGGAGGGAGGGAGCCTTCGGACGACACACTCAGCGACTTCTTCATGTCGGAAAAGCAGACACGCGCTCTCTGAAACGGAGCTTTCGACTTTCTGCCCTCAACTTATTAAAGAAGATAAGACTCAGAAGCAACGCCCAAACCAAGGCAAGCTACATAGCTAGATGCTCACCTGAGCGCGAGGCGAGAGAGGGTGGAGCTGAAGTTTCCAGTCGAAGTATATTTACATATATGGTAAGTACTGTATTGAGGTTTTGTCCACCTATTTTCACACGAAAATAACATTATCATTGGTAGAAGTACAAGCGGGTACGGAAGCCCATTTCCGCAACTGTGATATAAATAAAGATCCTGTAATTCAATATAATGAGAAACCCAATATAATGACTTAGTATCGCATAATAATGAGTTAGTATATCATGATTATGAGATATTATAATTATGAGATATTAGGTCATAATTATGAGCTCTCATAATCATGACTTAGCATTTCTAAATAGTGACTTGGTATCTCATGATTATGACATACCATATTATTATAATTATGAGGTACTAAGTTATTATTTTGAGAAAGTTTCTCATCATGATTTACAGGATCTTTATTCATCAGTGACAGAAATGGACTTCCATAAGAGGAAAAAGTTTAACATGCAGTGATTGGGAGTAAAAATAATTTAAATGATCAATATTTAGCGTATTTCTTTTTAACGTCTCACTGCGTTTGCTTAGTGTGAGACAACACTGAAACAACAACCACAACAAAAGAATGATCATATTTTGCTGGACCTCTCATGACATGACATTGTGAAACTTTCAAATTTTAGAAAGCAGCGATGGTTCTTCGATGAACCAGCAGCTCAGTGCGGATGGAAGCCTGTGTGCTGTCATACTTATGCATCATAGCTGGGGTCATTTGATATCAAACCTTTCTCCACAACCCGTGACCTGGAGCTTCCCATGAACATTTAAGTGCTAAGATCTTTTTCTTTCTCAAAAGGATCCATTTTAGATAAATGCCTTCATGACGTCACACCCTGAGCAGTGCCCAAGTTTAGCTCATGGAATTTATCCCCAGAGCAAAAAACAGAAGCAGATCCCATCACATGTGTAAATATTGTATTCCATTTCCTTTTTTTGATTGATGAATGAATATTATTATTATTAACGAGGTGAGACATGCAGCTGGCAGAATACTGACAAACCAAGAAAAGAGAACATATTTCTCAGATTCTTAAGTCCAGTGACATATAGAATTGTTTTTGAGGACCTACTTATTGTCTATAAATCACTCAACAATCTGGGTCCGACCTACACTCACCGGCCACTTTATTAGGTACACCTTGCTAGTACCGGGTTGGACCCCCTTTGCCTTCAGAACTGTCTTAATTCTTCGTAGCATAGATTCAACAAGGTTCCTCACACATTTTGCTCCATATTGACATGATAGCATCACGCAGTTGCTGCAGATCCGTCGGCTGCACATCCATGATGCCAATCTCCCGTTCCACCACATCCCAAAGGTGCTCTGTTGGATTGAGATGTGGTGACTGTGGAGGCCATTGGAGAATCCCAGTAGGTCAGCAGTTTTTGAAACACAGACCAGTCCGTCTGGCACCAACAACCATGCCACGTTCAAAGTCACTTCAATCCACATTCTGATGCTCGCTTTGAACTTCAGCAAGTCGTCTTCACCACGTCTAGATGCATTGAGTTGCTGCCATGTGATTGGCTGATTAGCTATTTGTGTTAACAAGCAATTGAACAGGTGTGCCTAATAAAGTGGCCGGTGAGTGTATATCGTCGATATGTTTGCAGAGAACGAGCCGGATGGGTCTCTCAGATCTGTAGGGAACGGTCAGTTAGGTGGTGCCCAGAGTTAAATCCACATGTGGTGAAACAGCTGTCAGCAGTGTGGAATCAGCTCTCCTTGGAACTACTTTTAGGGGAATTTGATATTTTAAATCACTTTGGTTTCAAACTTACCTGTACTTTCATTTATGTAATTTTACACTATTTATCTTTTGTTCTTTGCTTGTAAAACACTTTGAATAACCTTGTGTACAAGGTGACGTATGGATAAACTGGCCTTGTCTAGTATTGCTACTTTTACATAAAAACAACTTTTTCACCAAAACCTGTGTGTGTTAAGGACCTGACCTTCAAATGTTCTTATTTCAAGGATCTATGGCCCATTTCTGAGAATAAAAGGATGAATCAAACGTCTAACATGATGACTCAGCAGCGGCTTTAAGCCCCGATTCATGTCGGGTTTTTATTTTCTGCTTAATTATAGAGTGCAGCCAACACCCCGATATGATTTGGATTAGTGAGAAATGATTTAGATTTGTGGGAAAAGCCGGCAAACAACCGTTAATGAAGCAACTAAAAAGGTTTAAAGAACGTTCAGAGAGCACGAAGAACCAAAGTCAGACACAAGCTGTACGGGATAAATTACTTTTATTGAGAAAAAAAAAAAAAAAGTGATTATGAAAAATAAAATGACCTGGTTGAATCCGTCTTATCAAATGTGTGTGTATATGTGTGTGTATGTGTGTATGTATGTGTGTGTGTATGTGTCTATGTGTGCATCACTGAGATGTAGCCATGATGCTGGATACACCTGTGAATAGAATAACAGAGAGAAGAAGTGTGGAAAGAGAGGAAACATATCAAACGTTAACTTCCGGTCACTCATGAACACAGAAACAAATCATTCACTCAGTGTGAAATGTGTATTGATGGTAATATGTTGCTCACTCATTATAAACAGTAAAGGTCACAAACAGCCTGTCAACAGTTTCATACGTGTAGAACAACTTGTAAACGTGCTCCTAAACACAAGTGAGGTACATCACTGCTGCAGTGAGGCAGGAGATCTAGGAGCAAACTCAAAACACATTGGAACACAAATGTGCAAAATGCAAATGAGGTCCGTTCATTAACAAAATCAGACGCAAGGAGTCGCCCCATCCGAAAACAAGAGACGAGTGCAACTAGTCATGTGGAATTAAGTGCAGTCTCTAATATTTTTTGTTCATATTTCACTCTTTAGCTTTCCAGAGGTGTTCCTTATTTATTGAAATCCGGGCATTCAAATTTTGGTCGAGGTACATTTTACCTTCAAAATGTTATTTTCTCAAGTCCTTCTAAAAATCCTTTCCTACGCTAACTGACTGGTTTTTACATAACGACGCCGCTACATACATACTGTGTGTGTGTTTGTATTTGTGTGTATTAATATTTATAGCTAGTTTATAGCTAGTTCACAAGTCAATGTGTTTGACTCACTTTCTGGTATATTATTACTATTCATGAATGGGCGGCAGCACTCACTCTCAAAGTCGATCTTCTCCACGATGTTCTTGGGCTTGACGCTCTCCTCTTGGCTGAAGACGAAGATTTGTCCTTCCTCGTTCTCAGTCCAGCCGTACTTGTTCATCCACACCTTCACCTGCGTGTCTGTACCAACGGAGGTGGACAAATGGGAGGTTTTTGCATTTAACTTGTATTCTAGATTTGGTTCATTGCAGTCTCTGGCAGCTCTGTATATCTCTGCACTTCTTACCCAGCGGGTCTCCCAGCATCTCAGCCAGTAACCGGTGCTCGATGGTCTGGTAGGTGATGCCCACTACGTGGCAGATGACTGGAGAGGAAGAACAATTAAATAAACAGACGATGCTGACAATGTTTACACAAGTTCAATATGGATCTTTTCAGCCTTTGTGTGCTCGTTTCCCGTTAACTTCCACAGACTAATTACTGTAAGAGCTTAATGTGCGCTGAGTCACAGGACGACACTCACACTTGCGAACGGAGTCCTCGAAACCGGTAATGCCGTCAATGAGCTCTCTGTTCTCCTCCAGACTCGTCTGTCAGGGAGAGGACACGATTAAAAGGAGACACAGAGGACACACTCCTTGGCAAGTTTGGAAAAGAGGAGAACCAAAAGGCCTCAGAACGAGGACGAGAGAGATGTTGCAGGAGTGTTTGGTGATGCATTAGTCCGCATCCCTCAGTCATGGATAAACTCTGAATTTGGAATCAAGCACATTGAATATTGTTTCTGGTATTCCACTTAAAGTCCTAACACCAAGTTTCCCCTTAAAATTCATTCAGATATCTTATTGGAACAATAAAGCAATACAGCTTCTTGATAATCTTCAAATAACTTATGAAATTGTGTGCAATCTCTCTACCTAATATTGTTACTACGTCTCTCTATAGCAGGGGTATTCAAAAACGTACGCTGTGATATATTTATATATATATATTGAAGTAGTCTACAGTTGTATTTAGGTCTGTATGTAGTCAAACAACTGACTGTCAAATTAAATAAAGTTCAATTGAATATAATCTCAACAATATTTATTGTCAAATTTCAAATTGAACTGGATGAGTTATAAATAATATATCCTCTAATAAATTAATATTTCAAGTAAAATAAGAGCTGGATTAAAGTATAAAATACACAACAGAAAGGTTTTTAAAAATGTGACTCTTAAAATAAAGTGATTCATTTTGGAAAAATGTATTTCACTGAATTGTCCTGCAACTTAAAATTCAGTTCATTCAGGTGTGAAGTGATGTCACCCAAGAAAGCAATGATGTTATATTTCCCTCATCTTGTAATAAGATACATGTGTGTGCAGGGTCGATAACTGTGATTATTAAAATCACTCGTTTCATCTCTAGTCCTCTGTTTACATCATTGCTGGTCAGTGAATTAACGTGTTAGGAGTCTGATCATATTGGGCTCTTAGGTTGTTTATTTTCTGACTTCATTTCAGATGTGAGTGGGTACGTTTGCTGAAAAGAGTTGTGAAATAACCTATAAGAGTCTGTCCATTGTTGGTTAACGGCTCTGGTCTCTGACCACTTTTCGGTGAACGCCATGTGAAATAACTTGTGACTCGCGCATTATTCTCTGACGACTCGTCTGTCGCCCGTCTCCACCTTATCAGAATACACATATTTGATTGGCTGAGCAGCATCATGTGATGTGATTTTCAACGCATGTAGTTGGTCGGTGTGTCTCCTGGACCACTGAACAAGTACCATAAAGGCTAGAAAAGCTGCGCCAGTTAAAATAGAAGCGCTCCCTCAGTTATCTATCGGTTTTAGGTCCAGGGTCCGGACCGCCTATTAGTGACC